TGGCCGCCAGCCCGGCCTCGGTGGCCGTGGACTCGGGCTCGGAACTCAACAGCCGCTCCTCCACCCTCTCCTCCAGCTCCGTATCCTTGTCGCCCAAACTCTGCCCCGAGAAAGAGGCGGCCACCAGCGAACTGCAGAGCATCCAGCGGCTGGTCAGCGGCCTGGAGGCCAAGCCCGACAGGTCCCGCAGCGCGTCCCCGTAGGCCCCTCCCCAGCAAAGACTCTTCATTCCAGTCCCGTCCCGTCCCGTCTGCAGTGCACTTTGTGGGATGTGAACTGAACCCCGGCGCGCGCGCGCGGTGGGGTTGGCCCGGCTTTGTGCGGTCCTGTCTGGGAAGGGGTGCCGGGCTCCCGGAGAGAATGTGCTAGAAACAAGCCCTGTCTCCTTGGCGTGGTTTATATATCCGGGACCTGGTGCAGGTCCTAGGGGCTGAGAAACGCCTGTTGCTCGGAGCCGGTGGGGGTGGGAGTTAAAACTGGTTTGTCCAGAGCACCTCCCGGAGGCTGGTCTGGGGGCCTGGGCAGGAAAGGCAGCCAGGCCCGCGGGGGGTGGGTGTTGAAAAGTTTCTCTCCCAGTGCAGATTTTATATATTTTTTTCCTTCACCGTGTCCAGTGGAAACAAAAACAAATAAAATTTAAAAAAATATATATATATACCGGGGGCAAATGAGTACATTAACATGATTTCTGTTTGCGAAAGATGAAAACTTTTTAGTGACTTGCCTATCCGTTCTCAATAAATGACTAAGCAGTCATTTCGGGGTGGGGGTGGGGAGCCCCTGCTGCCTTGTTTAGTCTCTCTGAAGATAATCTGTGTCTTTTTCATATTGTGATGTTTTAAGAGCCACTGTAGGCCTCTTCTTGCATGTCCCACAGCCATGTACTTGTGGTTTTTCCTTTTGAATGCTTGCTTTTAGAGGGGAAAGAACATGGTCCCACACCCCTTCCCCAACTCTCGTTGGCGGCCGATTGAAAGGGAAGGGGGTGGGAAGACACACGAAAACATGAGTTTATTTTCTCTAAGCTCCATAGCAGGATTCCTGCCTGCCTGTCTCTCTCTCTGACGGTTCTTTCTCTTTCCTGTATATGCAATAACAAGGTTTAAAAAAATAATAAAGAAGAAGCGAGACTATTAGCAAAGTATTTATGTAATTATTTGATAACTCTTGTAAATAGATGGAATATGAATGCTCGGAAAATTAAACTTTAATTTATTGACATTGTACATAGCTCTGTAAATAGGATCCGCAGCTGTCCAGTTTTGTGTGGATTCCCTGCAGGCAGTTTTATTTCAAGGTCACAGGATCGCTTTTGAAACTAGGAAACACTTTCTGCACCAACACCAACCACTTTCAAAACGGTTGTCCGCAAAAAAAAAAAAAAAAAAAAAAATTCTTAATGTCCAAGAGTGAGAGAAAGTGTTATTGCCTGTTTTACCCAGAATTGCGGAGGTGGTGGTGCCACTTCCCAGTTCCACCTTAAATTCCTTAAAATGTAACCCCCCACCTTGTGGTTCTGAGGTTGCTTGGGGGGGAGGGGGGCCTCGGGGTGGGGGTTGCCGAGGCTGCGGCTTGACTTCCTAATTTTTCTCTTGTATTTGTATTTGCTAGTCTCTGATATCGTCCAAACACAGTGGAATTGACTACTGTCTTCACTATTGTTTTGCATTGGTGCCTTTAGAGAGATCTATTCACAGTTCAAAAGTCAGGTGCTGAGATGGTTTAAAGACAAAAGCTCATGAAGGTATATTTTGTGTTATAATCGATGAGTTCTTTGGTTTTCTGTATCATCCCTCCCCCCTTGAAAACGTCATTGAAATTTCAATAAATTTTTATTGAAATGTCTTTGGGCCTTGTTCCTTACGTGCTTTCTTTAGGGAACTTGGGCATCTTTCTCTCCTGCCTCCGTCTACCCTCTTCCCTTCGCCTTTAAGCAATTAAGACCGCCCCCACTGAACCCAAATGAGATGTCACTCAAGTTACAAAGCTAAAAACAAAAGTCCCTGACTCCGCCAGGGGAGCCGGCCGCTCCAATCTGAAACTACTTTTCCTTTAAATTAGGGAGCAGGACGAGAGACGGAAGGGGGCTGATTGGAACGGGATAGAATAGCAATTTCAGATACTTCAGTTTTAATGGGAAAAGAATGCTCCCCTCCCCACGGCCGTGTTTCCCACACGAATCCGACCGCAAAGGCGCTGGAGGACTACGTACGTTTTCGTTTCAGCCTCCCTCTCCCTTTCCCCCTCGCGGAATCTCCGCAGCCAGCCCCGGCTTGGCCAGGCGGCGGCCCCCCCACCCCCACCCCAGTTGTCAGCCAGCCCC